TAGTTAATAATTAATTGATTGGCAAAATTGTTTTAACGCAGTAAGTTGACAAAATTTCTGTCGCACTGTTTACAAATTAATAATAATTATAGGTGTGTTTACAAAAAAAATGAAAAAAGTAACTGATTTTTATTGAGATATTCAACAAAACATAAATAGTAAAATGCGAATGTTTATTCATTAAGATACTATAACAGTCTGGTAACTTGGTACAGTACATATTTGCCTAAATAATTTAGTATTGATGTGTTTAGGTAAATTAAGTAAACTTTCATAAATAAACAGTAACACACATTGCATAATGTTTTTCTATGCTTGTAGGTATCATTACTAGGTTCGACTTGATAATTTCGAATAAATTGAGCAATGGGTAGATTGTTATAAACAAATGAATATGGTTGTAATATCCCAATGAGTAGAAAAATTAAATTTTCTGACGTTTCATGACTCAGTATAAGCCACTTCCTCACAGAATAAATAACCAAATCAAAATTAATCCAAGTTTAAATAGCACAAAGGAACAACGCAAAAATATTATGTACCCATAATATTCACATAATATTTCTGCGTTGTTCCTTTGTGCTATTTAAACCTGGATTAATTTTGATTTGGTTATTTATTCTGTGAGGAAGTGGCTTATAATGAGTCATGAAACGTCAGAAAAAATTTTTTCTACTCATTGGGATATTACAAAAACATTAATTTATTTTTCAAACCTTGTAATTGTTATATATATAAACGTAGTGAAATTGGAATATCTTAGAAAAAATAGGTGTATCATCTTGTAAAATCCAATATATTGTTTTTTTAAACCAAATAAGTAGGCCATTGAGATCACGAACTGATCTAAGTTAGACAACTATTGAGAACCTGAAGAACGTGAATAGCTATATATCCTAGTGTAAAACTATTCAAGCGTACACATCACCGACTTCACAACCGAGAGCCAAACCCAAGAGATTCGACACATTGATTTAAATATTAGACATTTTCGTTAGGAACCATAGGTTCCATGTTGTGGAGTATTGGATGTGAACTGATGAGAAAATCCATACTAAGAAGTAACGGTCACTCGGCGCTTCCCAAGTTCCAATGGTTGTCTAAATCAGTTGCGTTTATAATCCTAACCAACTTCAACAATCTCCAACACCCTATACTGACAAATGGACTATATTCTGAGTTATCTGAAATTTAAAAAACCTTTAACGGATTACTCAAAAAAGCTATCTCATTGTTGATCGGTTTTTCCTACTGGGGTGTATAACCAATGCTAAACGACCCGTTTCATTACTGAAGGCAATTCTCAGCAAAAACTGACACCAGCCAAATAACCGATAAGAACGAAAAAACCTAAAGAGTTATTTTTCCCTAGTTTGAATTATCTCAGTTTTAAAGAGGTTAGACACGAAACTATAATGGCATTTAGTGTCCAGAGTAACTGTAAATTATAAATTAGATATTCATGGATCACTAACACCGGCGTTAGTTAACTTTAAATATAGCACTATCCTTTTATAGTTAATTATCATTTCACTTCTTACATTTGTAACTCTAAAAATCATATCTTTTCAACATAATATTTTTAAAAACCTGATGTATAATGAACCCATAGAAGATCAGCTTATTATCTCAAAATTTTGTATAACATAAAAGTGCACTCAATAAATCCTTCAAACTTCATAGTGTAAAGCAGAAGTTCTGTAGCAATATTATAGAATTCGATTATTACGAAGGTAACTAAACACTTTAAAATCATTTCATTACAAAACTCAATGCATATAAAACTATTATTATTATTTTACTTAAAGTACAAAAAAAACAACACAATAACATGCATTAACGAATAAGGAAAAAAATTCAATTTTCAGTTTAACGTGTTATAACAGATGGTTAATGGTGTTATGTAAAATAAATGAAAACAACTTTATTAAAGTATTAAAATAGCTTTAATACATTTGCATATTTATCATAAGTAATTGAGTGTTTATTAAAACAAATAATATAAAATTCTGTAAATAAAATACATAAATTTTGAAATTTTAATCCAACCAAATGCATTTCCATTTAGTTTACTGATTGTTGACAATAAACTAATACAATTTGAGTAAACTAGCTTAACAATGACAACTAAATAGTTAAAAAAAAGTGAACTTTAGTTTACGAAAGAAAAATCCATCCATTTGAGATCAAATGGGAGAAAGTTAGTGACTGACTGATTAACTTATAAAAAAGATAGTTTAGAAATGATACACGAAATATTATGACATTGATAGGAAGAAATTTACTTTATTGGGCATTATAGTAGAATATTAATTGAAACTATCGGTATGGGGTTGTGGAGATTAGTAGGTTTTTGGTTGAGATCATGAACCGATTAGTGTTAGATCATCATTGAAAACCTGGAAGAATTGGACGACCGCTTCGTCCTATTGTGGACGCGCACTGCTGAGGAGTCCCACGATAGGATGAAACGGTCATCCAGTGCTTCCAGGTTTACAGTGATGGTCTAACATAAATCGGTTCATAATCTTATTTAAAAACTTAATTCGAATTGTCAATTTTCAACATTTTAAAATATTATTAATCAAAACTGTAGATCAATTACACTAATAATGAAACTTGAAGAATGTCAGAGAGTATTCTTAGAAAAGTAATACAAAAGTCTTGAACATTTCTGAAAATAATTTTCTAACTATTAACTATACTGAATAATACTGATTTAAATGCAAATAATATTTTATCGTATGCTTTAGAAGTTAGTATATGACACCGATAACTCTTCTGAAAGCGGACAAGGCAAGCAAAAGTTAATACTTTTGACCAATATTTGAAAGTTAAATGATACAATTGACTTGAACATATTAATGTGAAAAAGCAAAAAAAAATATAAGCATAGATTCAAATTTTGTTTGATCTACTTCAGCTCTAGCAAATCAATTGTCATAGTTCCTCATTATATTCAAAACATACTTTAAACCTAAGTATACAGGAAAAACAAACAGAATTAATGAACTATAAAATTTAAAACATGACCTAACAGATAAGAGGCAAAATTTATCCAACTGTAAATATTCTACGGCGAATTCATTTTTGGATATCTGATTGAGTATAAATCTACTATTATTAATAATCTCGGCGAGACTCTAATTTATGGACGAGCCAATCAGAAGCGTTTGGGGGATTTCAAGGTTACGGCGTCAACTTCAGTGCTGAATGCTAACGTACGATGGGTTCACAAGGAATTTTCTACAAAACGTGGTAATTGAGCGGCTATAACTAATAAAACGGTGAGACTATAATTTGTCGACGAATCAATCAGGTATAAGATAACAGATTTCGGATTTGGGCACGAAAGCCTTTCATCCACTGGTATTATAGCTGATGTCAGTCCGTGGTGAAAACCCCATATATAATTCCAAACTGAGGCAAATTATTACAATTATCGCGAACTGGATAATAAAAAGTACCAGTAACACTGGCTGCAGCCAGGTACTACAATATATAAGGATAATTGGAGAGCTTATAGACTCCTACATAAGCTTGGTTATGTGCATCGTGTCGTTATCCACGAGTGACATTTTGCGTACTCAACAACTGGAATGCACACAAGCAATATTGAAGCTATGTGGCCGAGGCTGAAAGTTTTTGAGACTTTATCATGGATCCAGAGGTCAACTATTCTGTAGCCATATGGATGATTTCCTCTACTGCATGCAATACGATTTTAGAACCTCTGAACCTCTTTCTAACTTTGACAAGTTTTTGAACCACATATAAGAACTGTATCCACTATATTTCCTTGGTTTTGTATAATATATTTTTATTCTATACTTACTGTTTGCTGATTGACTAGTATTCTCAAGGTCACTTAAAATTCGTTCAAAGGTCGTCCATAAATTAGAGTCTCGCCATGATCTCAAATAAAATTTAATTCATTATATAGTTGGTAGTAACTTGCTGCTCTGGTTATTTATAAATAACTCAATGAGTTATTTACTTGCTTACTTACGTCTATTACCCCTCGTGAAAGGGTATAGGCTGCCCACCAGCATTCTCCAAACAGCTCTATTCTAATAAATCCTCTCCAGTTGCTGTTCATTCTTTTGATGTCTACTTCAAATCTGGACGAAGTGTGTCCTTTGGTCTTCTTCTTTCCCCCTTGAATTCAACGTTCCATGTTACGGCTTAATTCGTGATGCATTTTGATGATCTCTGTAATGTATATTCTACCCATCTACAGTGTCTTTTACTATTTTCTTCATCAACTGGAAACTGGTTTGTTCTCTCCGACAGTATGCTGTTGCTGATGGTCTCCTGTCAACGGACGTTCAGTATCTTACGTAGACAGTTGTTTATAAATACCTGTACAGTTTTGATGATAGTTGTGGCAGTTCTCCACGTTTCAGCTACGTACAGTGGAGCTGCCGTGACGTTCGTATTGAAGACTGTAACTTTGATGTTGGCTTACAGATAACTGAGTTCGATATGTTCCTTAACTGTAGGAATGCTGTTCTGGCTTTACCAATCGTTGCTTTTACATCTGCATCCGATCTATTTTGTTCATCCATGATGCTGTCCAGGTACGTAAAATTCATTAACTATTTCAATAAATTTTAGGAGTTACGTATCGATCGAAGTTGAACCGGTCTAACTTCAATCAGTTTGTGATTTCAGTGAAATTCAACAATCCTCATCATCCCATTCAGAGAATTTTGGATTTTCATCAAAGCCATAAATCAGCAAATGACTATAAGAATCACTAATTCACAGTTAACTCACCTTCATTTTTACAATCAAGACGAGAATAACTTTGGATATGAAACAAGTTACTTAAACTGTAGATCAAATTAGTTTTTCATTTATATCTTTATTCTTTAGAATTAGTGAATGTGTTGAAATCACTTATTAAGTTCCTTCATACATGTTCATATTTGAAAGGTGAACAAAATGAAGTTATGAAAACAAGACAAATCCATCAAAAGTTTATAATAATAACTCACCCTATGGTTGACGGAAGTCTAGATAACTTGTTTACATCTAGATTAAGTGTTTGTAATTGACATAATTGTCCAATGTTTAAAGGAATTGATTTGATTTGATTGGATTCTAATTCCAATTGTACTAATCTAACCAATTCGCCAATTCTATTTGGTAATCCCTAATGGATGGAATAAAATGTAAATAAACATGTTTGTACTGTGTTAAATGGAAATGGAAATAATTATCAAATAATTTGAATATACTTAAATTATGTAAATTAAGTCAGACATAAATTCAGATAACATTTCCATATCATAAAAAATTATTCTATTCGATTGTTTACTGTAAACTGTATTTACTAACTGACAAAATAACATTCGAACAAACCTGTTTATTTCAATGTAAATGAACGGTACAAATTGCAGTTAAACTTAGATAAAAATAGGCTGACAAAAATGAAATTTTTAAGTATACGGTTTATTGATGAGTTACGTATAGGTTGCTTTATTCAAATAATTGACGTGGGAGTAATTACAGATGTAAATAATAAAATCACAATGTGTTACTTATGTTTTAATCATAAGCCAGTGTTAAAGTGAAAAAAAAAAGATGCTTACCTACCTGCTTGTTATTTTTATTAATTTAGTCATAAAGTTCCATAGTTATCACACGACTTAAAATTAGTGATATTGCATGTATCTTATTCAATTTGCTGCGTCAGTGATATTATACAGTATACATATGTAATTCATCGTAACGATGCACGGTGGACAAAAAAGATTAGCATCTGGAGAGATGGTGTTATACTCTGGTCATGAAGCAGAAAATACTTCGCAAAACCAACCCTCTGACGCTAGGCATTTCACTTTCACCTGATGATACATACTCTTATATCTGTCGACATCAGTAACACACACCTTATTTAATTACAAACGTTAGTTAAGTCCTATCAAATGTTAGCTATAATATTATAAAAGAAATCATTAAAAACGTTCAGATTAACGTTAAAACAGAGCTACTAATCATAGGATTTGTCAAGTGCTTATATTTTTAATGAATATGTATGTTTAGCAGATTATATACTTGGTACTGATCAATTAATAAGCACAGAAGAATTGAACACAAATAAACAAAATGAACATTATACTACAAAATATTACCTCTAAGCGATTACTAGTCAAATCTAATATTTCTAAAGATACTAACTCGCCAATTGAATCAGGTAGGTGACCAATTTGATTATAAGAAAGATCTAATTCAACAAGATGTTTCAATGTTTCTATTCCTTCAGAAAGACAGAATATAGAAAATATCAACTGATGTAAATGGGAAATAGTAAACAGTTCATGAACTCAATAAAATTGCTAAATAAATAACATAAATATAATCATTTAAAGTATGATTATTAGAATTAGAAAATAAGTCACATTTAAATATGACGTTTAGATAAAAATGAAATTATTATTATAATTACATGATTATACATTAGTGATATCAGAATTTTCCCACAATTCATAATATTGAATATCCTTCAAAATATATTACTGATCTTTGATGAAAATGTACAAGAGTAATAATTCATGATAAAATTCACCAAATATTGTTATGCGTTTATAATTTGATAAACAGTACCATCTTGAAATGAGAAAAGAACAAATTATCAAATTATTGCTGATTATGTATACAGAACAACATATTTTGTAGATACGTATCAAGATTTTGAAAACGATTAGTGCACCAAATACTGGATTTTGTTCATGATAATCCAATAGAACCAATATAGGAGACGTTTCAAATAGAAAGAAACACCTGCACTAACATTTATCACATTGATTTCATGGATTGTGTCGAGTCTTTGTTTGAATAACATAATATTACTATGAACAAACAATCGTTTCGAAACAAATTAGATAAATATTTTCTTTTCTTTATTGGCTACTTTTTAATCAATGTTAAGTCAATAATAAAAAAAGGTTACTGTCTTTCGAAACTTTAATGACGTGGTGTTCATCAGTATAGACGTCGCAGATGTAAGGGATCATTGTAAACAAATTTGGGTTCATAAAGCACGATCAACAATGAAACTGTATGTTAATAAATGTTGAAGTTAAAAGACAGAAAGTAAAAAAAGCATAAGGAACATTTGTCTAGAACGTGTGGCTTGAAATATCTTGATGAGTTGTAAGAAATACATATGGTGATAAATGACCACTTTTCGCTTTGTAATAGATGAAATGTAGCTAGCAGTGGAATCCATGAAGCAGGTTTCGTCCTGTTTGTGATTCTTCAACCGAGTGTACTTGCACTGACAACGGGATAATCCAAGCCATTACAAACTAACGATTAAAACACTTTTTGATTTAATGTTACAACTAAACAATCGATTTTCAGTAGTTGTACACACGTTTAACTACTGGGCACAAGTGGTCAGCAACTATTGCCATAAAAGCTTTTTTTATGATTTCTATTGAATTACTGTTTATCATGCAAAGACATCGTTCCGAGGTGGTCAGTTACAATCAAGTCTTAAGTTCATATTTCATATTCAATTTGTCAAATAAATGGAAATGTACATGTGTTTTGGATTCTCCTTCAAAGTTTTAATACCCAAAGTTATTATTCAAATTCTTGATTAGAGTTTACTATCCGTCTTTTCAGTAACAGAAATACCTTTGATAAAAAGAGTTGACTATTCACATCGTAAATGTAATGAACCACGTGATCATAATTTGCAAACAGCCTATTACAAACAACATAGAGAATTACAGTTATATAGAAATAATAACGTGCACTGACATAATCCAGCAAATGGATATTAAAAAATCTAAAACATGTATTTTCAGAACTATTACTAACATACAGCAAATTAACAAGTAACCTAATTGGTTGTATCTGTAAAATTTGAACAGTTACTCTACTATGTAACCTTTGTGACAGCATGATAAACAAATTCATGGCATGTTTTAAAGTAGTTAGCAGAAAAAACGTTTACCTGTAAAGTCCAAAGTAATAATGTTATTGTTGCATAAGTTCAGTGTAGTCAATTGAGTATTTTCTGACAGCTGAACTGCTTCGAATATTTCTAAACGATTATAATCCAATCTGAAATGCTTTAGAAAGAAAGCCGAAGTAATAAAATAGATAAAAATGATGTATGAAACAAAATTTATTCCAGAAAAGATGTTTCAGAAAACAAATCGTGACAAAGTGACGAATTTACTCTGTCCTGGATTCCACTGCTAGCTATCATCCATCTCTGTATTTTATATTTTCGTACAACCAGGGCTTCAATAAACTTTAGTTTACGCCTTGGATAACTTTTGTGCAAAGCCACAAAAGCTAAGTTAAGATTATTCTTATGACCTGTAACAACAACATGTTTGGCAGCAGAGGAAAATGAATTCTTACTGGGTCATTTGATTTTGTTTGCTTCTACAGTTATTTTGGTAAATGTTCAGAGACTATAACTTACAAATACCGATTACTCTTATATTTGTATACATGATCATACGAAAATTCAAACCTCATTTATGTATTCAGAAACAGATTGTTCTCACCCCGATTCTATTCTGGTAATGTCGAGTTATTATCCAGATTGATGAGTTTAACACTGTCCTTCAAATCATTTTTAATATTATTATTCTTTTTTCCTCTTACATTCCATTTTTATAGTTGACCTTTTATTTTTCATATGTGTTAGGTCCTGATAAACATAATGACTGATGACTTTGGGATCCTTTTATGGACAAATACTAAACGTATATTTTTATCGCATAATTGTTAAGTAACTGAACTATTCATATTCCTATTCCCCTTATTATAAACTTTATTTTAACCTATGAACCATTATTATACGTTTTACCATTTTAGAATTATGCCCTGTCTATTAGTCGCTGCCTCCCACATTCACAACCACATTTGGCCAAATTTTGTATAAATGTTATTTCCTATTTCATGCAACGTTATGGTCTGTTTTATTGGTATATAAACTCAGTATGTTTGAAATATAAGGATTCATATTACAGAGGCTGAGACTGGTGTTCTGGTCTCAACTGACTGAGCTAGGCGGAAAGCAGGACCAGTCAGGACTCTGGATCTCTCGCACGTGTTTTGCACGTCCTTGGTCCGATCGATAATTCGCTGCTTTTGATTGGCGGCTTTGGGCTATAACAATATGTAAATGTTCTTACTGAGTAAACACATGATCATATTTGTATGTATCATTACCAAGGTTTGATTTGATAATTTCGAAGAAATTGAGCACTGGGTAGATTGTTATAAATAAATAACATATTTGTAATGTCCCAATGAGTGGAAATATCTAATTTTCTATTCATTGGGATATTACAAATATATTATTTATTTACATGATCATATTGTTCGAAATGTATTGCGTTTATATATTACATAATCCTAATAATCTTCGTCGTTCTACTATACTATCCAAATATATCAAAGAGATTAGTTGCTTTAAAAGTGAATACTTCAACTGTGTTATAACAGTTTTAAAATACTGAAAATAAAGATTTCCGTAACACCTAAATTTTTTCTACCAAATAAACTCTGATAAAATAATTAAAACTAGTAAATTCAATAGTTATTAACTTAAAGAAATTGTTTGAATAATTCCAGACAATAAAATTTATTTTTGATTGAGATCATGAACCGATTGGTGTTAGACTACCTTTGGAAACCTGGAAGCACTGAACGGCCGTTTCGTCCTGTTGTGGGACTCCTCAGCAGTGCACATCCATGGTGCACTGCTGAGGAGTCCCACAACAGGACGAAACGGCCGTTCAGTGCTTCCAGGTTTCCAAAGGTAGTCTAACACCAATCGGTTCATGATCTCAATCAAAAACTTAATAATCTCCACAACACCTATACTAACAAAACTTATTCTATAAAATGATTCAGGTTAAGATGCTGCAAATGATTTATTATGTGAAATATTAATCTTTCCTACCTTATGATCACTCATTATTGTATCCATTTTCAAATTAACTACTGATTTCAGAATTTAAAACAAAAAAGTACAGTTGGATTCCATATGATTATTTCTAAGAAAATATATTTAAGCAATTTAAAAAATATTTTGATAAAAAAGAAACTTCGAAAATGTATTATCAGTGTGAAAACAAAAGTTAAATAAAGGCACATATGTACTTACCTTGACATTTTTATACTGAGTTTTATCACCGATTGGGAAAGAATTGAAATCATTTCGAGATAGTACTACAGAAAGTGAATCTTTTAAATGACACAGTAGATTTTCCTATTCAATTAAATATACAGAAAAAGATAGAAAGAAAAACAGGTTCTAATCGTAAACAAGCCAAAGAAAAAATAATATTACTTAGTAGAATTAGTAAATGAATATAGATTAATTATAATGTATGTCTCATAGTCAACGTCATAGTGTGATCTCAGTGAAACAGACATTGGTAACTTGAAAGCATTGGGGAGTTGTGTTTTCGTTGTATGGGATTGTTCAACAGTGTGCATTCGCTACCCCAATGCTGGGGATAAATAAATCAAGCTCTGAATGAACATTCCTCATGCTTTAATGTGGTAGATGTGACCAATTTTCTATGGCTTTAAAATAAAAACCGAAGCTTTTAATTTTATGAAAACATAAATTACTGTTTAGATTATTTAATAACTGTACCTATCCACGTGTAACAAGCTAAAGCATGTAAGTTTTTCAAAATTTCATTGATAACATTGTTTTTGCCATCTATGATATGAAAACAGAACTGCGAGTACAAAGAAGTACGTTTAAACTCTATCTTTGCCATAACCTTAAATTATTATCATTACATTTTATTTCGTATTTGAAAATACCACCCCACCTCTTAAATTATTTCTCATAACCCCACGATTTTATTCATAATTATTTCTAACATCATTTTATTTCACTTAACCCCTCTATTATCTTTGATTATTGCAACAATAATACATTTTATTCATCTTACTCCATTCATATTACAAATCAGCTGCTAACTTATTTTTTCCTCATTTTTTAACCATCAATCAGGAAAAAGGTGTGATCAAAAATAATGATAAAGGAAACCAATAAATGAAACTATGGGAAAGGATAATCGTCCATACTTTCCAAAGCTGTACAAAACATAAAACAAAATCAGTAAGTGTTCAATGATTTTCATCTGCAACCATATAATTATGATTTTTTTACAGAACTATCTAGTTTATAGTTGAAACCGGAAATGCCTATTAATATCATTGTGTTTAATGAAATGAATCAATAATATTATGTAATCAAAAAAATAAATTGATATAAGGTACTCAAGAAGTAACCACAACAATGAATTTTCTACTTATCGATAATCAATTATAATGTATTAATGCAAGTGACTGATTGGTGTGGAAACAACCAGCAGTATGTAGAAAGATTTATCGACAGTGCTATTCGAATAACTATCAGTATAAGGCTATGGAGGTTGTTGAGTTTTCATTGAGATAAAAAAGCCGATCAATGTCAGACCACCAATGAAAACCTGGAAGCACTGGGCGGACATTTCGTCCTAGTCCGGGATACTACAGGAGTGTTGATCCACAATCCAACCGATGGTACTCAAATTCAGGGCTTTCATGTTCGATATCTATCGTATAATCATAATGTCAATAATATCTTTAAATATCTCGTGATGTAATTTACCATCGACAGAAATGCCAAACGAATATTTTATAACTTTCTCTGCACTACTACTTACATATATACTATACAAGATTACATTGAATGGCAGTACAAACAAAATTAAGCAAACTGACCGGTAGCTGAGTTATATGATTGCCTTCAATATTCAGTTCGGTCAATTGCTCGCAATTACATATTGTAACTGGGAGTTCACTTAAGCAGTTATATCTGAAATACAAAAATACATATTTGTTGACTAGAGATAATGAACTTTAAAAATAAATATAGGACTAGTTTATATTTGAGTAATAAGAAAGTATGAATTACCAACTACTTTTATGTATTCCATGGAACCATTAAATGGTAGTCACATACACACACATGCACATAAAACTTGACTTCAAGATGAAGAAATTGTACGATTGAATTATATATCTGCTGTATTTGTGTCTAACAAATCGTTAGCAAGTAAGTATACATCTGTGTATCGTTAATGGAATATTTTCTAAATACTAGCCAAGTTTTTGTGGCACTAACTTGATATCTCAAGAAAGAAACAATCACATAAAGTTGAAGTTTTCGCATTAACTTCACACCTCAATAAAAACATCTAGAGCTACATTTTATTACAGCGGAATGTTTATCAACAGTTATGTGATTATCCAATTTTAGCTAAACTTAGAAGCTTTAATAATGATCGAGAGTTTTTATTGTTACAGGTTCGGCAACTATACAATTGACTGATTATTGAACAGTGATTAATGCTATAATTATTTAACCCTTTAATTGTCGATTTAATTCCATCGATTGAATTGTATTGAAACCAGTAGTCTAAGTAAAGCTGGCCGAAGTGGTTTTGAATCTCTAAAGGAATATCAGTTCCTTCAAGATGGCAGGTACATCCAACTGACGAGTGTCAACTGGCACAAAACCTAGGTCCAGAGTTTTCTGCCAATAACTTCCAATCATATAGCAAGGCGACAGTGTTTATTTAAATGAACAAAATGATAAATTTTTTGTCAGCTAACAATTTAAAAAAATCTTTTATGTGATAAAAAATATCATCTTTCTGAAACAAAAATCATGACAGTATTAATTCTTTTCCTGTATTACCGATAACTTTATCTTCACTGTAAAGATACGACATCCGAAAACGTGAAGTGTTAGAGAGAATATTTTTAGACCAAGATTAAAATATTGAAGGTATTATTTCCTTTGAGTTTAATAAATTTACTTGAAGAATATAACATCTTCAAAAGGTATCACGAAACACATGTCAAAAATAAATACCTGAAATCAGTCACGGTGATACAAACTTTGATCACAGATTGAAATCATGAGTCAGTTGAAGCTAGACCACCATTGAAAACCTGGAAGCACTGGACGGCCGTTTCGTCCTAGTATGGGACTCCTCAGCAGTGCGCATCCACGACCCCGCACCACGCGGGGCACGAACCCAAGACCTACTGGCTTCGCGCGCGAGCACTTAACCATTAGACCACTGAGCCGGAATCCAACGGTGTTAATGTCTAACTTCAACCAATCCACGAAGTTGCGCCACCATATACCATTATCTTCAGTGAGCTGATATCTCACAACAGACCTGGTTGTACTCCGCTGGTAACGGCTTCCTACTAGAACTCCATGAGTATCTCTTGAATTCAGTCACTAGTGAGCAGATGATTATTATCAGAAGGGGTTTGTGGAGATTTTTAGAAATTTTCACAGATTGAAATCATGAGTCAGTTGAAGCTAGACCACAATTGAAAACCTGGAAGCACTGGACGGCCGTTTCGTCCTAGTATGGGACTCCTCAGCAGTGCCCATCCACGACCCCGCACCACGCGGGGCACGAACCCAAGACCTACTGGCTTCGCGCGCGAGCACTTAACCTTTAGACCACTGAGCCGGCCTAATGGTTAAGTGCTCGCGCGCGAAGCCAGTAGGTCTTGGGTTCGTGCCCCGCGTGGTGCGGGGTCGTGGATGCGCACTGCTGAGGAGTCCCATACTAGGACGAAACGGCCGTCCAGTGCTTCCAGGTTTTCAATTGTGGTCTAGCTTCAACTGACTCATGATTTCAATCTGTGAAAATTTCTAAAAATCTCCACAAACCCCTTCTGATAAAACTTTGATCAATTTTATTCGTGCTCATTATATCTGCAAAATCTAATTATGTAATTATGAATTTCTGAAATCTTAGATATTTTTAATCTTTTTATTAAGATAATTTTAATAGTTTATTTTAGCTTGTATAGTGATATTAAGTGTAATAAGTTAAATTTCTAATAAATTTCTATCCAATAGGCTAATGAATTTCATTTTGAGAAATATTACAAACAATTTAATTGTAAATGCACATCTTTACAATAATTAAAATATAATAAGGGTATGATATTAACATAATAGGTTAAACTTTCACAATATATTCACATTCTTAGTCTCTTATTCAACTCATATAAATAAAACAAACTTTATGTAAATAGAAAATAATCAGCAAAACTTCTAAATATAAAATAATCGCACAAAGAGAATACAAACTGAAAACTATAAATGTTTTCATACAAAACAAAACAAATAACGAATTGATCAAAGTTTAATATGTGCTCTATCTGATTCTGACTTGATGATAAAAAGTTAATCTGCCAATTGTTAAGACTTAAAAGTGATGCGTCCAATCCGCTTGTGGAGTAGTAGTAGTAGTGTGGTGTATGCTATTTATGTCGACAAACATAATTGTTATGCAACATCAGTCGGAAGTGGAGAACCTGGCAGCAGAAGGCTAAGAAGATTGAGTTGAACAGAATAAAAGGGAAAATAGAAAGGCATCGTGAACTGGAAATTTCATACAGAATGTGAGGGACAAATAATGAAAATTTACAAATCAGGTATTTAGTGTATGCTTCTCATATTTACCAAAAGATTCTGTAATTTTGTATCTAAACACCTGTGTTCTCATTCACAACAGTAGTAGTAGCAGTATACTGATGTGCTGTAAAAACTGATCATTAACTTGTGAAACTTGAACCCTTGGATACTTGAACAGCCAGGTAAAAAACTACGAATAAAAGAATATTCAGTAGAAAACTTACTTAATTCCTAGTACCGTAAGTTCTGAAAGTTGACCAATTGATTTTGGCAATTCATCTATTTGATTATAATCCACAAGAAAACGGGATAACAATTTACAATTGCCTATATCTAATGAAAGAAAATAAGAAATATGTTGTTCACATTTAAACTAACTAAATTTATTTATATAAACTATTGATGAACTAATTCATTAATTAGTTAAAAGACAGTCGAACTATATCCCATTTCAATTAATTTTTGTATTGGTTGATTCAATCATCCCATTGATGTTCAGGACTGCAAATGATTAGTCTCTTATGAGAATACGTACATCCATCTCTGCTAACAATACATGTGTTCCATTTTGTTCATCATGCTTTTGTAAATCATACGGAGCAAAAATAAACACAAGAAAAAATGCCCGCAATCATTATTATATTCATCTATTTAAATATAATTTTACATTGATGAAATAATGATAGGATTTATTTTGACCGTCATTATGGTGTACTGTCAGTTTTTTTTACCTCACCAATACTTTCCTTAACTAGATTCATTATTTTAAAACCATGAATAGTGATATCGTTCTACGACAATGACATAATTATAAGGTAATATGAAATAATTGCAAAAGAAATATCATATGCATAATACTATGCTATCAAGTAATCATGGAAATTATATAAAAGAGTTTGTAGACATTAATAAGTTTCAGTTATAATCTGTTATCTCAATAGACGTAGTTTATAAAATAATAACTTTATCACTTATCTTTACTAAAATCACTAGAATGCTGATTTACTTGACCTTGAGTACAACAATGTGTTATGGTACTTTTTCAGAAGACTTAATAGATTCGAATAATGCAATAAATTAGTATCACTGTATTCAACGAAAAATTATATGCTCAATGTCAAGTTTTAATGCATCATTTACTGGTATAAAAGCTTGATGAAATGTTAGGTTGCAAAATATTATTGAATGACCATATATATAGCTAATTTCGACTGATTTTGAAGATTGTCTTCTTGGTGTAATAATATCATCTGAAGGTTGGACATACATATAATTCCATACCTACTCATTAGTCCATAAGTATTCTCTGTTACATAAAAAAGTTCTGGGTTCCATTCTGTGTAGATTTAATATTATGTAGTTTCCAAGAGTTCTCGATTTTAAGTTAATCCATGATGAATAAAATTAATTTTATAAAACCGCTCAAGTAAACTTCTAGAAAAAGTTCCAATATTATTTAGCATCATTAATTCATTTGAAATCAATCATCTTGGAATTTTATGTAATACTTTAAGTTGAAAAACTAATTGCCTTTTTATTTCTTTCAAAAACTCAGAGTGGAAAACATCAGTTTTTGGATTTTTTTTTTAAAGTAAGTACTTTCTTAGTATTTCTATATATCAAAACATTTGATTTACATTTTTTTCAAACACTGTTTACTAACTTGTTATTATTAATTCATATATGTATGAAGATATTATGACAGAAAAATATAATTTATAGGAAACATTGGTGTTTTGCAATAAAAAGCACTCAATTGTTATTTTTATCAGTTAATAATAAAAGAAAACTATTAAATTGACCCAAACAAAAAAAGTGCATATAAGTGCTGAATAAGTTAAATAACTTTTTCTAGTACGAGAAACTCATTTTTATCTGAAAATACTATACTGATTAAGATCGTTTTTTATGTAATGGAGTCAACTTCGACTGATCATTAAAAAAACTTGGAAATGATTAGTCCAAAACAGTGTATAGAAACTTTGAAAGATAAGAAGGTAGATTTGAAAAGTGTATAAAACAGAACCAGATAACAAAATGAACTTCGTAGCTGATCATAAACCAGTTCAATATACAAAAGTATATACATATATATAAGTTAGTAATCAAGGACTAAAGTATAATATACTGACGACCTTAAACCACTTATCAGTCAATCAGGAAACACTGCCTTGTTATAAAATGATTAACAATAAAAAGCAATAAAACAGTGGAATAGTGGTCTTGATATGATTGATCATCCTTTACACGTTAAAGTGTTCATTATATTAAAGTAATAAAGTCTATATATTAGAAGTTAGGCTAGAGTTGTGAGTTAAGGTTATAACACTATAGGGTTTTCATCCACAACTGATAACATCTATGTTACAAAATGACTGTCGTCAGATAATAGAAGTCAAACTGGAATATCATGTTATGGTTACATATTATGGATATGGTATTCATCACGAACCGATGTTAGTTAAAGTATAATGATGTTTTACTACCCTTTTATTTACAAACTTAGGAAACTTGACGTTGAGATTTAAATTCAGTAGTTAAGAAAATACTACTGAATCATACTAATTAATTAAAACAGAATCTGCATCAAGAGTTGGTATTTCATGTGTTTTGGCTTAAGCGCTAAATTCTGTTCATTGTTCGACTGCGTATTACACATTTTTATCGTCTTCAAGCATCTCATAAACAAAATATTGTCAATTTTTACTTATGTCATAACAACATACAAGCTGTCTAACACTTCGTCTTACTTTAACGTAAAAATATCCGAGGTGCTATGTCGATTCGGATTAGTTTACTCAAGGCCGTGAGCATAGTACACTTTTTACTGATTACGTACTAAATCAAAAATATAGAGCACAGAAGATATTTAACTAATACTTTGCTGCACTGTCATCTGAAAGCTATCACCAAGCTAGTAAAACATAGGAAGTAGAATGAAAATTAACCATAGATTTTTTATTACGCAACAATGCCTTATTAGTACAGCAGATCTTTGGAAATTCAATTTACCGACTATATTACAGACTGATTGTTACCTAGAGATCGATCACTGGTAGAGTGGTGAATACTCACTCTTGCGAAATCCTATATTACCAAAAAATAGCAATGTGATCCCTTTCTGTTTTTCATGATTGTCTAGTTAAACCCAGACCATCATGTAAGAAACAAACAATGGATTACTTTTCATACAACAAATTATTAATGGATTTTTAAGGGTTAACTGAATGATACATGATTACTAACAGTCAAACTTTAGCTTCCGACTACTGATTACCTTTCACTATAAACTATACTTCTTTGTACATATATCTAGTGTAATTAGGAGTGAAATTCATAATTCATATGTTACTTATAGTGAACAAAAACCTGATATTCAGTAACGTATTCTTGTTTACTTTTCATATTCAGTATTATATAATACCCAATTTTTATGATTAGAAAAAACTCTCGAGATGGGACAAAAACCCTTAAAATCTAAGAAATAATGAAAACTGGTATTATTCTGTATTTGGTTAGAAACATAGGGTAATGAACCTAAAATAAACCGATTTTTCAGAACTTTACGTGAGTGTTTTATACGAGTTGTTTTACATGTGTATTAATCAAAATGAACTTCGTACACTGATAACAGTAATAACAATAATAACCATGGTGAAGAAAACACGATATCACCATTGAATGTCTATTCAAATATAAATATTTAAAATCTACTATTCGTTATACATTTGATACTTCAGTGCCATAATATGTACTTAAGACTATTTAGAAAAAAAAACAGTTTTCAGGTAACTGAACACTTGAGTTAATGAGTACTGGTAGTGATTATGTTTTGAAGTGCAATTACAAACCATGGAAGTTGTTAAGAACATTTATATGAATAGATTTTCACAGTTTTTTTTGAAAAATAGGTGCAGTGAAGTCTTTCATTCTATTATGTTCTTATTGTCCAAGGTATTAGCAAACAATTTTACAATCAGGGTATCATGAAAACTGGAACATTTAAGCTTAATGAAAAAAAATATGGTAAAGCTTTAAATAAAATAAACAAACTTGACATTTAATTGTTATTGTTTTTTTTTTAGTTTCAATCAACTTTGATCATGTATATGCAAACATTACCTTTAAATATATAATAAACCTCTTAGTTAGCGTTCATAAACTTGTATAAACTACAAAGAACAAAAATCTCATAAATAATACAACAATTAGTAAATCCATTCATAAGATACTAGGTAATTGAAAATAATAATGAAGTTCCTTTGTATAAATTAAATTATATCAGACATAAGTTTGTTTCTCAAAAAATAATGTACCTCACTAGATAAAATCATCATTATTATTAATAAATTATTATTACTGTTATTTTAATATTATTTAACTCAGGTTTCCAGTTCAAAAATTTTGCAATCAAACATTAAGTTAGTTTCTGTTACCGGATAACTTTAAGTAGTCAATTACTAAACAATGGAAAGAGCTGGACAACTGTTTTTCACTAGTTTTACACTTCTTATTAGTGTACAACAATCACTATATGTGTGACAAACCCACGATCTTCAAGTTTCATAGTGAAAAAGTTACGTTTAGATCATGTAGTCAGTAAGCAGTGGTTTGTGTATCCAATCAGTAAATTCCTGATATAGTGCGACGATTATACAATGTCAGTAATGATTCCTATCACACTCGAGACGTGACGGAACCTGGCTATGTCATCTGGCTCAGTGAAAGTAACACCACTAAACGTAATCATAAACAACCTAAAACATAGAATATATGAGCATCATTTAAGATGTCACACTAAACCAGCACAACGAGAATAAGTTATCAAGACAAGTGCTAGAGTAGTAGGAGAAGTAACAGTGTCGATCATGGTTATAAACATTAGACATAGATAATATGATTCTATGACAAGGAATTAATTAATGTTCAACAATTTACATTCAGTGGTATTTTGATAGGGAAGACTGACTCTCCAAACAGTAATTCATAAATTTTTAGTTTTTCTTCGCATATATTGTGCTGAAATATTAAGAGTTAATTATAAAAACTTTCGTCGGTAAGACTATAATTTATGGACGACCTTTGAGTGACGTTAAAGTGACCCTGAAAATATCCACCTACTTACTGGGGCTAAATGATGGTTATAAAGCAGTGTGAAGAATAATGATTAAGGTTTATAGTTGATGTTTAGGGCTAGGAATTAGATTTATTTTCATCACGAACTGACATCAGCTAAAATGCCGAAACGTTATTTAGACAAATAAGTGAATGAATTTCGCGCCAAAATCCAAGACCCGTTATCCTAATTCTGATTGGTTCATTCATAAATTATA